TCAGAGGCGTCATTTAGGCTTGATCTTTTACATGACAAGCAAATCTACTAACATGGACAGCCGGCTTTACTTCCCCTCCGAAGGAAGGCGTACGAAGGATTTTCGATCGGGTTTGAACCCGCCAACTTGGGTACAACGGTCCGATACGCTAACCGTTACACCATCGTACCGCGCAAACGCACCGTTGTCGCCCGCATTCAGCGCAATTCAAACATCGGCACCACGCCGCTGCATCGCCCTGGGCTTCCATTTCTCCTCGACAAGCACACGACCCGGGTAACAGGAGCACGCATGACTAGAGGTCGCGCGAGGTATTACTCGCGCAACTTTTCTTGAACGATGACCTTGATCCCCCTCGCTTGTGCAAAAACAGTTGAAGGCAAAAGCTCGCAGCGGGCACTGATGACAACCTTCCAAGCATTAAAACTTCGTTGGCACGAAACAGAAGCTAGTCAAAGCCAGTTGCTTTCATAGAGCAGAACCCCTGTTCAGATTTATTGTCAATATCGAAAGAAATGGCTGAGTCAGGTCCAGGTCCTTCAAGGGGGTCACCTAAAACTCCCGAAAAAGTTAAGCACAAGATGCAGGTTTGACTTTCATTTCACAGACGTTGGCATTACTTGAAATAATCTAGTGACCGACTTTGTAACTAATATCCCCACTCCACCCGAAATCGTCAATCCATCGTTCAAGAAAAGTTGCTCGAGTGATATCTTCTCTCTCGACGACCATTATACACACAAGAAGGGACATGTTACGCATGCGCAGTAGAGCCATCAACGCATACAATCTCTGTTCTGAAAACATCGGGCTAGGGATCGTAATCGCCCTGGAATTTGTTTTGTTTACGTTAGTAATTAGTTCCATTGGTTTTCTTGTAGTTTTCTCACACGAAATGTGGTATATGTTTTTTGTGACGAGGCTGCCTGTCATAATGCTAAGAAGTCGATGTTTTTGAGACGGCATTTAGCGCAAATAATAGATTGATACCACGCCACTGCTTCGCACTAGGCTTTCTCCTCAGCGAGCATTTGACTCGTCTACTTGGAGCATGGAAAAATAGAGTTCACGCGAAATATCTGCGACTTAGTGAGTGTTTAATCGCGAGCGAGACACGAGAAGGGACACGCCGCGCATGCGCAGTAGAGTCATCTCCGCACGCTCATCTCAAGGATTCACGTGCCTCAATTTATCTTTCGTCAATATTTCGCGCATGTCGCATTTATGGATGTATCTAATATTTATGATGAAGGTTCAGATTTTTTCATGAGTATTTGTTAATTTTTCTCGCTCAACTCTCATTGCTGACGCTAATATTTCTGATAGTTTCAAGCAGGAGGCGAAAAGGCATGTGTATTTTAAATATATGATAATAAGTACTTAGAATAGAATCTTTTGAAGTTTATGCTTACGTTTGGGTGCAAAAAACTAAGAATTAGAATTCACTTGTAAGAACTATTTATTTATAGTAAATATTGTATCTTTGTAAGAATTAATTGCCCCGTTATCTATTTAAAATGATGTGTATAAACCTGATCTTTTGCTTCATTTCATTCGTAAATACTGCAAAATTTTCAGACACAGTGGTGACAGCATTTAAGGTAGTTTTTGCTGTCAAGTTGGGTTGTGCTTGGAACAACAGAAATTGCTAGAATGTTCATACAGATGTCTCAGAATAAATGTTACAAATTTTTAGAGCATGTAGAATATGGCAGATGATCGACCGCTGTTTGAAAATTCGTTTGTGAAAAATTTCATAAAACGAAGTTACCCATGTGGCAAAGAGCCCCTGATTAGTAGGCAACTCACAACGCACTGGGGTAGGGCGGATCACGAAGTCTCTTTGCCTGAGTCCAATTGAATGCAAGCGCATTATGAGTTGTCTACTAATGAGGGGTACGTACAATTTATCAGTGTCTGTTATCAGTATATTATATACCTGTTCTGATTTAAAACAGGTTAATCTAACTTTACATGATAACTTGCGAAAGATTCTACATTTAAATATTCAGCTGTAAAAACGACTGCGCTCACGTTATTACACCTAAAACGGAGTAGTAGAAATTGATTTCATTAATTGATAAGAATGTGGAATGAATATCTAAACAATCACGGGTACAGGATAAAATAAATGAAACAGAAATCTTCAATTAAAGTTTATTACTCATTTTTACTTTCTTGCCCTTACGAATGTAAGAAGAGAAATTATTGTAATCGTGAGTCCGAAAAGGGCGAATTTTCGAAAAAAGACTTTTATTGTCGGGCTCTGGTAACGTAAAAGTTAATAACACCTGTTCCTACGTATAGTAAATTACTTTCTCTAGTATTTGACTCAGGAATATAATTTATAATTATTAAGATACTATATCAATGATTCATACCTGGCGTTGCCATATTGTAGTTGGACAAGAAACTAATTTCTGTACTTTATGAACGCTGTGATCCTTGGAAGAAGTAAAGAGAATTCAAACATCAAGTTTTGTTTTTGAAGTTGTAGAGCAGTGTGAAAAAGTGTAAAAATTACTTGTGGTTAATGATGGTGAGAAACAAATGAATATTTTAGGGGGGAAAATCTGTTTCGAAAGTCTAAACAGTAATTTTGTAACTGATTTGTGGAATGAAACCAAACTTAATATAATTAAGTGGTACAAAACAAAGAATTAATTTGTTTAAAATATGTTGAAATGTCACCAGGACATGGTAATCAGAGAAAGAAAAGACATTCGTGTCAGTGGGCTTGCAGGAAGTTCGGGAAGAATGCTCACTACTCAAAAATACCAATAAGAAAATATCGTGGTTTAGCGAAATCAGACTGGAGTGATGGCATGTGCTGCTAACTACATGTATGTGGGTGATGAAAGCCAACAATGAACACTTTAGTGATATTGGCATACCCAATCACACAGAAACTGACTGGAGGAGTTTTTGTCGAGAAGTTTGCAGGGAAGTGGTAGTGAACCAAACAATTGAGCTAGGAAGAAAGGATGTCTTCGTGGAGATAGTTTTGGGCAAGTTTGGAAAAATAAAGTGCTAGAGAGGGAATCGAGTGGTAAATGCGTTTTAGGAGGCTTGGAGTGGGGCAGGGATAGTTGTTTTTAAGTGATTCAAACTACAACAAAAGAAGTGTTTTTGTTATTATTGAAGAGTTTATTGAACCAGGAAGCATTGTAACTTCAGACTGTTGGAAGTCATATGATTTTTTAGGCGACGCGTGTTACAAAAATGTAATAGTTGGACCTAAACTTTAATAGCCGAGGTCGCTAAGGCAGAAGGACTGTAGTTACCTCGTACTTGAACAGTCGCAAATTCGAATCCCGCCAGGGACATGAATGTTTGTGTGTGTCCATATTTATAAGTATGCGAGTTCCGCTACTGTTACCCTAACGTTCCAAAGACCAATGTCAATTACAGTGGTCACTATATGACCAAGTAATTGAAAAACGACCTTTAAAAAATAAGAGGTAACCACTCTTTGCAATTTAAATATTCGGAGACAGGCGTTCACATGAACTCAATCGAAGAGACGTGGAGTGCGATTAAAAGGAAATGACCTTGCCACGCTGTTTTGTTTTTCATATTTGCATGAATACATTTGGAGAAGAAAGCTCATTGGGTGGTCAGGGAGCGAGGAAATGAAGGCTTTCTTCGACCACATAAAGAAAATGTACACTCCAATCGATTTGTGAGATTTTGCATAAAATGATTTGGTAATTATGCGATGGACAAGGTCAAGAATATTTTGTGTTAACGCGAGGGACGAAGACCCGTGCCTCGTCCTCAACTTGGACACGGCTAGCGATGCACCACTTACCGCAGAAAAGTGCGTCGGCTGCGACTCGAGTTATTCGTTCTCGCAATCGACATCACGTGAAAGAGAGTCGTACCGTCAACTGCATTTCTACCCAATTGACACATTTATTATCTCTATGAATTTCTTTTATTTCTGCTCAGTTTTACGTAATGTCCCTAAGCAGATAAATTCCATGTTCTTAATAAGATAAATGTCGTTCATTTCAAACAGAAATTACGCAAAACTACTCGTTTTCAACAAATTGTACATGACATTTTTTTAAAGAGCTGATAGACTAGCAGACTTTTTCTGAGACAAAAATTTCCATCTTCAATTTTGAAGTTTTAATTTTTTTTCCAATTTTCGAAAAATCGGGATTATCAACAAAAATGAGTCCTAAATCATTCTCTTAAACGTCATTTACACTATTCAACAACAAAATTTAATCAAAAGAATTGGAGTATTTTTTTAATGTCGCATGGGCTTCATGTAAAGTACGCCCCAACATTAAAATATTGGTTTCAAATACCAGGGGCCGCGACATCAGCTAGAACAATTGTGGAATATCAATTTTGGAGAAAATCGGCTGAACGGTTTATGCGCTAGCGTTGTGCACAGACAGGCGTTTTGCTATCAATAGGTTTTTCGGTATGAAGAACGAACAAAACATGGATTCTGGATACACCACGTGTTAGAGAATTTTTTTCTAAATTTAGCAACTGAATTTATCTACTTTGTTACCAGAATACGGCAATAAGAATTTTTGTGTCGAAAATGTGTTCCGGCGCACGATTACAATACATTATCTTCTTACGTTAGTAAGTGCGAGAAAGTAAAAATTGAAACCTTATATTTTGTTATTGAGGTATGTGACGATCCTCGCTTTCCGTATGGGACGGGCTTAGAATTAATCCACCCAGGAAGGGTTACAGAAGGAAATATTGGAGTTGAAATTTACACTAGGAATTCAATTTATTACTTAAATACAGAATTCTTTAATCCTCTTTCGAAAATAGCTTTATGTAGTCTAAATGAATCAAAGGCGCAGATTTGAAGTATGCATCTCGCAATGAAAGGCAATATTTGAATCCCCGCGCTTCCGTATCACCCAAATGGCGGATTTCTCGTTGTTCAAATTACAAGTAGATTTCGCCACCGCGCGCTAGAAAATGTGTGGAAGCAAAGAGTATATTATGTGTGGAACTGCATATACGATACTCTTTGTGTTATAAACTCCCTGGGGACGGCTGTACGGGTCCAGGAACATGTGAGGAGAGCAGGGGGAGTGATGGGGAGTGTCTGGTATGGTGCGATAACTTAACGAGACCGGCGTGTGTTGAGGCTATTTAATAATTTTTTGAAGTAGTCTCCCGGCTGCTTTGGTGCAGTCAAATAGTTGAAAATAAGTTTCACGTTATACAATACAATGCTTTGTAGATGTTATATAACCCTAAAGGAAAACCTTTTTAACCAAGCGTTGTTTTAGTTTTACTACTATTATTGTTAATATACAGTAGATTGCATAAAAGAATTCAAGCTGAAAGGCCTTTCGTTCTTTTGATGCCCATACGATAATTCGTTTTTGCTGTTTGCTCTGTTTTGGAGGATCCTTAATTTATTATTTAACCTCATTCACTTTCATGGGTTAAGTTGACCAATTGGAGAAATCAGTAGGTAAGACATTGCCATTTAAACAAATTGACCCTTGAAGAAATTTGGAGCCTCATGTGTGTTGTTCAATCATTTTTGGAGTTATAATTTTTTTCATACTTCAAGAAAAATGATACGACGTATGGCAGGATGTTCCACCTGGCGAATGTGGGCTTCTTCCAGTACTTGTATCCGATTAGCAAGTAGTACATCACCCATATCACCTCAGCAATTCAATGTTACTACCCTCAAGTCAGAAGAAAAGAATGCTGAGGAGTCAGATTCCACACATTCCAGTTTAAAATCTGGTATACCTATTTGGAAATCAATTTTTTACATTCACTTTGGATGAACTATTTTTGTCTTGTTTGTTATATTTAAACAACTGAAGTGGCTCTTCTAACAAAGTGACTTAAAACTACTTTTAAAGTTTATATTTGAATAAAAAATTAATTATACATTACTTAAGTGTGTAAATTATGATTGGAAATTGAATAGGAATAGCAGATTTGATTGTTAAAAATTTAGTTTCATTCATTAACATTTATAAATGCTATTATCTTTAACAGTTATAAATAGATTTTTTATTATTTTTTTAATTACTGTTCTTTTCTTTTAGGTACATCCAAGCACAACACCATAAATGGAAAGAAACAAAAAATATCATTAGTTACAGCAGCCTTCAATTCATTACATAATCAGAAAGCAACAAATGTTGAAGAATCGCTGCAGTCAGCAAAAACTGTGGAAGATGTGTTATCTGCTTCTGAGACACAAACATTTTCCCAGTATCAAGCTTTGCAAGCATTATCAGTATTAGCTGAATGGACTACACAAAAGAAGATCAAAATGCATGAATTTGAAAGTGACCCAAGATTTGTTAATTTATGCAAATTGATAGGACCAAAACCACCAAAGAATGTTAACAATATTACTGATTTGGGAGATCTTGGAGTTGTTCTAAGTGTGACTGGAGAAGATCAGGCTGCAAAAATGATATCAGGAATATCTTTCTTGCAGAAAATTCGAGTAAGGCACTTGAATAAAATGTTTTCTTAGCATGCACACGTTGTACAATACTAATACGCACTGGAAGTGGAAATGTCCACCAGTGCTTGAAACTGGCAGAATGACATCTACTGCTACTGCTGTTAGGTTGAACATCTGATGACAGATTACAGGTGTTAGAGATCATTTCCTCCACATCTGGAATCCACTAATAGAAGGATAATGCTTTAACCCTACCTTCTTCATTGTTGTTTTGCTGTAGAGAAAATAATTGGGTTTCAACTCTGATGTCAAGCTACACTCGATGTATATGTTTCACCCTTTCTAAGCTTTTCTAAGAACTTGTGTGAAGCTGGAGAGGATTTGTCACTATGGAGTATACATTATATGTCTCTTGTAGTTTTTGGTGTCTTATACAAACATAAAGATTGAGAACTAATTAATATGTTAGAATGCTTATTGTTCATACACAATAATTTCACATAACATTTTATCTTCTGTTTTGGAAACTACTTCAGATTAGTATGAATATCCATACAATTCAAAAGAAGATCAAAATGCATGCATTTAAAAGTAAGGGTAAAGTCTAGTATACGGTACAACTTACGGGAGTCATTTAAATTGGCACTTCGTCCCACTCTGTAGGTAACTGTGTAATTTGAATTCTGGAGTCTTTCTTATTGAAGTGAATTGGTAATTACGCGGTGGACAGACTCAAGGATGTTTATACTGAACGCGAAGGCCGAAGGCCTGAGCCTTGCCGTGACTTGGATCCGGGCGAGCGAAGCGAGAAAACTTGTGTTTAAAATAAATTGGTATTACAGTGCTACAGGGACAAAGTGTATGAATGGCGAGCCATGAAAATCGCCTGTCCGTAAGTTTTATTCATTACAATCAAAGCGCATACAGTAATTTAAGGGAGGGCTTAAGGAGATCCCTCCCCCCTCCCACCACGCTTCTCTGAGGGTGTACCGGAATGATAGATTTGGCATGTGATTGGCTACAATTTTTAATAAATACACACCAACAGATTTAGCAATGGCTTAATTTTTGATGTAGTGTTTTGCCAAAGAATATGAAATACCAATTATGATACCAGTCGGATTATTATTTCAAAATAAGAAATGAAAGATAATGTCAAATGATTTTATAGGAACTTTTCCATGTCTGTTTTAATAGTTCCTTTGTATCATTTATATGTCTTTAGTTTCATTTTGTGTAATTTCCAGTTGTTGAACTGTTTATTAGAATTAACTGGTTAAAGGTATTATTGATACAAACTAAATGGTCACCTATTGCTGTGATTTCCATTATATCTATAGATAGTGTAGGTGAAGCAAATGGGAAATCTTCATTCGATTTGCAATTCTTCCAGATTTTTGTAGTCTAAAAAGACATCTGACAAGAAAACATTGGGAGCAAACAACGTCTTTCATATTTATTTGATGTCATTACAGAAAATAGTATACTCTTAGGTTGTTAACTGGAAATGTACGGATCTGAACCAAACATGTATTCACTTTTCTTAACCAAAAATGCTTTTTTTTTTTTGCCTGCCAAACCTAGAAAATACAAATGCTTTGTGAACACCGCTGTGACATGTCAGTGAAATTTAAATAAAGATTTGGTGGGATTACAGATCTTGGTGAATTAAAATACAAAGGATAAAGAAACTTTTTAATGTTCATATGAACTGGAAGGTCTAATAATGTGGTTTGTGTAAATAAAGTGTCAACTAAGCATGAATAAAATGACTTATAATATGTAAAGAAATAGTGTATCCATGATGTAGAAATCAACAATTATAAGGAACATAAAATTCAGAGATGTGTCAGTGTCAGGATTGCTAACTTTAAAGGCAGAGAACTATTGTTGGCACTTTCCTCAAAATGTGAACGAAAAAATTTTGTTTCAAAACTCCAAATATCGTAGGCTGTGTCTTAATGTATTTTTGTGGTTTCACAAAGGCAAACTGTTGTAATAGAGAAGTGTGTTCAAAAATTGATTAATGTAGTGTTTTTTTCTATTTGAAGGTCTTGTCATCTCTAGCCCTCAAGAAGCGTCGATCACTTCATTTGTTAAGAGCACTTGCTGCAAACATAAGCAACAGCTCTGAAAACTTCGACATAAAACAAGCTGCTGATGTTTTGTATGCGATGGCAGTTCTGAACTTTCCTGACAAATTATTATTGAACAAAGCAGTTAATGATATATGTAAATGCCTGCCTGATAATACGAGACCAGCAGTCGTGGGTTCAATTCTCACAAGTGTAGGCATTCTCAAATACAAAAATAAAGGTTTGATTTTTTAAATTACATGGCAAAAGAAAGAAACTGATTATTGTAAGAGCCAGTGGTGTATTTATTACCATTAAAAATAAGAATTTTTGGGGTTTTAGTGCCAGTCCTGTTAAATTAAAAATATCATATTTTAAGAGTTCAATAAGTTTGCATGTACTTTTTTAGAATTTCTTTTTTAAATAGGTAAATAACAGTTAAATGTTTCAATGTGTGAATTTTGTCCCTTTCATTTATTGTTGCAAAAGTAAAAGTAATGTTTGCTACTTCAGAGGAAATTTAATATTATTTTCTTCTTTTATTCTTTGGAATGTTAACTAATGAAGTAAGTTTATTCTGTTGTCAGGTAGCTCTTATTAGTGTTTCTCTATTTTAATTTGAAAGGGACAATATTTTTTTATAGAAGAATTTATGGGCTGTAATGCCATGTAATTGAATCATTTATTTCAAAAACCCGTCAAAAGCAAAAATAAAAATAATAAAGCGTGTTAGGTGTGGCATATTATTCCAGGAGGATAGGCACATCGTTTAGTGCATATTTACATCAAATATATTCATCATTCAAATGCTTTAGTATTAAAATTTTTTTAAAATCAGAAAAACTGAAACCCTTTTTCTCAGTTTTCTTGAAATGAGAAATTTGGCCTTTGACAGGTTTAATTGACATTTATATTAAACAAGATTTCATTCCATTTTCTTTGATTTTTCAATTATAAGTGAGAGCGGGGAGTTAATTCTAAATATTTCTTTTGTCTAAAGTCTTGCAAAATCTTGTGGCATGACTGGCAAATAATAGCAATACATTCACTGTTACAATTTTTAGCTTTACATTAATTGTGACAAAACTCATAAATGATTTTTATTAGATAATGTTAATTTACTCGTTGTTGGATTAAAAGGTGTAGCAACACTGTGGAATAAAAAGTAATTGGTCTTGCATCAGAAAGGCCAAGCTACAAGCATCTGTTATACAGAAAGACTGGTCAATGAAACTTCTTTAAAATTTCTTTAGAGACCATACATCATTCTTGACACTTTGCTTTGTTTTGTTTTTAGCTTTGCTTGATGAATTATCAAACTGGGTGAAGGACAACATCAGTAGGTGTCGTGAACAAGACATCGTATCATTACTTTTGACATTGGCATCTGTCAACTATCAACCTCAGATTGCTGCTAATCTTTATAAAGTGAGTGGTTAAAAAGTGAGACTTGGAATTCTTATTTAATGAGACACCGATTAAGTTTCTTTAATAGCATGCTGGGGATTCTTTTGCAGATAATTCTACCTGCCCTTGAATCTTCTAGTGTGCCACCTCTTGTGTGGCTTGATGTTGTATGGGCTCTCAGTGTTCTGAATGTTGTAGATAATAAGAATCTACAGTCAGTACTTGTTCCTGAATTTCTCGAGAAACTGTCTCATACTGGATGTAAGTTCAAGGAAATGTTAGTTATTCAAATTACTGTTTGTGAATTGTTATTTGTAATATTAATATGTAACATATATTAATCATATTTGGAAGGATAGTCAATAGGTATGTTACCAAGCTTGAATGTTATGCACAGCAATGTTGAATGCAAAATTAAAAATTTCTACTTAATAATTCTGCAGTTCTTACAGCTGCAATAGCTTACTGCTGGAGACCTACTCTAAAATTAATAGTAGAGGTAGTTGACAAGTGGAAGTAGTTAATATTAGTGGAAATTGTGAGTAGTGTGTGGTGATAGTTTTGTTGTTGAAGTAACATGCATATTGTGGTGTGGTAGCTACATTATAATGTGATAGATCATTCGTATGTGACAACTTTGTCCCTTTCCACCCCCAACTGTTAACTACCATCATTATTAATTCAGAGCATAATGATTTCCATATCAGTCATGAATTGAAAGGTTCAGGTAGGAAACATTGTAACGCACTTGGGAGCACCTGTGAGATATTAAGCAAGCATTTTTGCTGTAAATGTTTTAAATGGGGTATTTTAAGGTGAAGAGAGATGCGGGACAATTATCACCCACAAACAACCGCTTTATATTTTGATATGATTATCATATCCACTCTTCTGAGAGTTATTTACTACCTTTTCTGTCTCTGAGAGTATATAGAGTTCTGTCTTAAATACTTGTGTGAAGTTCAAAAAATCTTAGTGTCTCATCTCTATTGTGTTTTTTATATCTTAAATCAAAGGTAAAATTCATAAATTTAGCAAGAATATCATCTGCCATCCCTTCACTGAAATTTCTGTTACTTAGTTTTGTTTTCTTTTTAGAGTTTAAAGTTTTGTCGGGGAGCAACCACGAGAGAAAACAAAACCTGCTTCTTGTTTGAAGAGGCAAACCGTGTTTACTGCATTAATTGTATCCTATGATTTGCTATTTTTAAATAAATTTGCTTTGTATAATACTTCACTTCATGACTGCGAGTTTATTTCGAGTGTTTATTATAAACAAATATTATGAGCCTGCATGTCATCTTTATGCATTATTACATCTATGCAAGTTGTAAAGCTTAATAACAATTATCTCAAAATATTAATGCATGAATTTGATTCTTAATAAAACAATAAATACAACATAAACAGTTGTTAGATAAAATCTAACATGTGAGTAATGGCATTACAAAAATATGTGAGAGTAATGACGTGTTAAAACCTACCTTTCTCATAAATACATTTGACTGTAAAGTAAATAATTATTATTACATATTGGCCTTAGTACATAAGACTTTCTTTTGAATGTTTAAATTACTTATTTAAAGTTATGCATTTTCTGTTTAAGCAAAATAATTTACAGTTATCTTTACTTTGCACTTACTTTTCTTATTGTGTGTTCAAATAGATATTACAAATATTCCTGCACCAGCTCGACTAAAATTATTGAATATTAATGCTGTGGCAGAGTTAGTAGTAAAAGATTATAAAGGTATGTGAAATTGAGAAAATTATATCAACATTTGTAACAAAGTCTGCGGTCTTTATAATTAATTTTTTTGTTTAGGACCTTTGTTAGCTGATTCTTCTAGCTTGCAATTTCCTTTGCAACGCTCTCGGGAGAAACAGATTCTGGTTGACTCAGTTGTAGATTCACTGACAAATTTACTACCAAAACCAACATATCTGCGAACTAATATTAATTCTGGTCATGGATTTCTTATAGGTAAGTGTTAGTTTGCTTTTCAGTAGTACTATAAGTTAGTAAAAAATTGTGTATTTGTGTGTAGATTTCAGTCCAGGAGTATTTTTATCTTCTTCTCTCAATGTTTAATTAGATGGGGAATGTGTTGTGGATGACAAATGCAATCCATTACCTGTGGAAAATCCATCTCCGGAATCAACAGCTAAAAGAAAAAGGTTAGATTTTTCTTGATGTACTAAATTAGTATAAAAAATTAATTATTTAATGACGTACTATTTTTATTGACATTTATATTTAAAATAATATTTTTAGTATTACTCAGGAGGGAACATTTCAAACTGTGATGAACTAGACCACTTCTATAATTTATTTTGCTTTCTCCAGAAAAGAAAGCAATTGTTTGCAAATGCCAGTGGATCGGAATATAGATTAAGCAGTTTGTACAAAAATGAAAGCGAGTCTGAAGGAAATTTCTACAAAAACGGTGTATATTTGTAGCAAAAATATCTATATTTTAGTTATCACATCTAAGATCAATTAATTTTAATAAAAAATCAGTAAGTACGTTCTTCATAAATGTCTACTGAATATGAATTAGCAAAAAAATAAAATTCCATTTCCAGTGTTAACAATTCTTTGTAACAAGATTCCATTTGTTAAAGAAATTTTAAAACAATGTAGCAATCATATCGGAAAATGATGAGAATTCTTACAAAAATAGTATGGCTCTTCCCATGTGGTATTTTCACTTGTGTTAGTAGACATTTGTGATTTGGCTTTAGTATTGTTCGTTTTACTGCTGTTTAGAGGATGTTGCGACCATTCAAGGGGCAGGTACTTTCATGAAACACTATAGACAACTTTTACCAATTGCCGCCATCGCCTCTTGTCTCTCATCATGAGTGTTGCTTGTCTTCCCCCCACTCCACTCCATGGGCAAAATTTTTACCTTTATTCTTCCCTGCCACAATTCTATGAAACTAAATTATTCTATGTACAATTACTGAAACTGCGAGTAAGAAAGAAATAGGAAAGTTTTTTATGGTTTTTGACTGAAAGGAAGCAGTAGGAACTGACCTAAAATATTAGTTCAGCATTTCAAATTTGCTTTACTAAATTTATTGGACAAAAAATAACATATCTTTGTCTTTATAATATTTCAATCAATATATTCAGAGGTACTTGGCCTAGTTTTTTGTTTATTGACGGTATAGTATATAGATAGTATAGAATGATCTTCTTCGGGTCTTCTTTCATCCGAAGATGGGCCATTGGTCCGAAACGCATTGTGAACATAACTTATAAGATCAATGATAATTGTAATATTTATTCTTCAAACAAAGAATATGTATTAATTAATGAATTACAAATTTTATGTAATATGAATTCTTAAGTTGTCATTTTTATGTAATGTATGAATTTACTCATATATACTGTCTATAAACAAAAAAACGGGGCAAGTACCTCTGAATATATTAGTTGATTTACTAAAGGATTGTTCTGTAGAAACTCACGTCTGAGACAGGTGAGTTTGTTAAAGGGGATGTAAACTACATCTCTGACATTGGAGTATTTAAATCTCTTGGAAAGATGGCCATGACAATTTCACAGAGATCCTGAAGGTCCTCTAAATGGTGTATATACAACAAAATTGTTACGATGTAGAATCCATTTAAAAAAACCATTCTAGTGATGAATGGAAAAATTTGTCCAATTTGCCTTTCTAAAAGAATATTTTGAATAGTACCCTCCCACAAGTTTCTTCAACGAAGAGCTTCAGCTCTTCGTAGTCATATAAATAACTGCAATAAAGGAAATTTGTGCACAAGTTAATCATTGGAATGAGTTCAGTGCATTTTACCGGCTTTGCATTGAACTGAATTCCTTCCTGAGATTTTTCTGTAATATAATATGTAGGTCACAGAATTTGGTCAGTGAGAATTAAGACATTAAAATATACTTTGTTGGTATTTTGGAATATTTTTATTTTATCGTCAGGGTTAATGGTAAAACATAAAAATATAAGAACAACACCCCTGTATAGATATAAATTATTGAAATTCTTGATTTTTCAAAAATTGCAATAGTTGTATAATGAATTAACAAATGGTAATTGCATTCTTGTTAATTCTGAAAGAAAGTACTAACATTGATATAATACTTGGTCATATTTTCATACTTTCAGCCACAAATTATATATTGCACATCAAACAGTACTTGGCCAGTTTTGATAGATATCTTGGTATTTATAGTTAAGCTAAGAATTTATTGTGTATACAATAAAAACAAATTGTATATAATATCTATACACATACGAAAAACCCTGGATACTCCAGTAAGTCACAGTATATAAATATATACTTCAGGTTGTTTACATTACATATATAAATAGATTATTTCAGGTGTGTATGTACTACATAACGGCTAAATTCTTGCAAACCTGGAGTAGTAACAATTAGTATGCCACATTAAGATGTTCATGTTTTTATAATTATATTTGATTTTTACATTATAATATCCAAGTCATTTACCTTATTTTTAATTCTTGTGAGCCTATGCTCGGTAGATCTATCATTGAGGAGAGGGTTGGTGGCTACCATTGCATGGTTCTTACATGCTATGCAATTCTCCAAGACGTTTTTCAATTTATTAAAATTTTGGGGAAATATTACTGGGTTGTCTTCAATTTTGCTTCTTATGGGTTCATTGAGTTCTTTTAAAGTTTTGGTTGGTACAATTTCATTTATGACAGTGTCTTCTTTTTCTTCTTGTTTTTTCTTTGGTTGTTTTGAAGCATCACTATTTTACAATTTTGATTTATTCTTGTCTCTTGCCTCTTGTTGAGTTATTTCTGAGGGCAATGGTTTTCTGAATAGCAGGAAAATCAGTTTTGTTAAACGGATTCTCTTTCGCTATTTTCTGGGAACTTGGAGTAGCACAAAAGTTCACCCTGTTTATTTTTAAGGGATTTGTTAGCTAAATTAATTCCTTTTGCGTGTATCTGAAAACTTGTAGTAGAACCAGGGTTGTCATAATCATTTACAAGGGACATTAATTATATTAGTTTCCATTACTTCAGCTGGAATTGACTTGTTTTGACATAGGTTGCAGAAAAATGCCCAGCTTGTTTGCAACTAAAACAAGTCATAAAAGTAAGAATATATACAAATAATGTAGTAATGCAAAACTACATCATTTGTATGTATTCTTACTTTTACTTTCTCGAAAACAGAGTAATGTGCATAGTATAGGGAAAGGTACGTAATGCTGCCAAAAATCGATTTTCAGATTTCAAGGGAAATACATGTTTTGGGGTCCCCTGATACCGAAAAAGTAGTTTCTTCCAAAACATCCGTCTGTCTGTCCCTCCGGCTGGTGTTTGTGAAGAACACTAGTGCCTAAACCATGTGAAGGATTTTTTCCATATGAAGAAACCACTGTCCATTTGTCCTGAGTCGAAGCTCTGCAATTTTGAAAATCATTCTTTAATTTTTGGAGGTACTTTACATGAAAGTCCCAGGACATTTTCAAAATTTTCTGAAAAATGGCTCCAAATTTTCTCTTTAAATTTCTTATAAGATTAGAGTGAAATGTGCTTATAAATGTGGTGATATAGGGCTGACTTTCATGATTGACTCTGAAATTTTTGAAAATTTTAATAGTTCGAATTATTTTGGGGGCTTCCTACAACAAAATTAAAAGTAGATTTTTTTTCTTCAAACAAAATTTGTTGTTCATAATTTGTTCATTAATTAAGGTTATGTACATTTTGTTAAAAAATTAGTACTTTTCATGCAATATTGTGTGAAGTATGTGCAATTTTAAAAAATTACAAAAACAAGATTTTCTCAAAAATGGCCTCAAATTGTTTCTTCACACATTTTGAATGGTTAGTGCTAATTGCACTGTTTAATATGACGTAAAATTTGTTTCGATGCATTTTTTTTTTTAATTATACGTATTTAAATCTTTTTTAAAATCTTTCGTGCCAATGATATGCATATTTCCATCAATTTGTAAACACTATTGTATTTGGGAGTTAAAATACTTAAAATGACTTCTAATGAAGTTTTTCGAAAACTCAAAAAATTTTCTGTGAAAAAGAACTTTCAAATGTTAAATTTACAGTAGCGCTTAAACGTCTTTGTCTTAAAATTTTTCAAAGAATATTGCCATTCAGATTGTGGTTTTACTGTCTTTTGATAGTCTTAAAATAATATTTCCGCTACATTTAAGAAACAGAAAAATGAAATGAACATTGGTCAGCGGTATATAGCAGCTGGCAAGAGTATGTGACAAGTCTGAGTAGCTAGCCGAGAGCAAGGGAAATAGAAATCTAATATGGGAAAGTCTGTGTCATTCTCCAGCAGCACTAGTTCAAACATGTTACATATGGATAGATAATCTTCCATGCAATTTTCATAAAACCTGCTGACTTTGAAAATTAGCAATTTTAAAAAGTGATGTGCAACAAATAACATATGAAGGACATACCTGAATTTTCTGAAATTTTCATCCAAAAAAACAAAACAGGGCTTACAAGCAAGAGAGCCAAGAAAATTCAATTAAAAAAAAAAGATGTATATATGCTTTTTAAGTAATTGGTTTCAGAGATATTATCCAATCAATCCATGACTCTTATGAGCAGAACATATAATACACTTTCAAGTTTTTCTATGAAAATATATGTAATGTAGAAATTATTTTTGTTTTTCAGGATTGCAGTGCTTGTTTGTGATTATCATGACATGTGTAAGGAATGTGAGGAAGTTTCTGGCCCTGTTGCTTTGCAGATCCGGATACTGGAGCATCTTGGATACTCAGTAATGACTGTGACACATTTAGAATTTAAACCTAGGGACAAATTAGTTTCCAGAGTTAAATATTTAGAAAAGAAATTGAAGAAATTAGCTGCACACTGACTATAATGTTAACCTCTATGTTTGATTTGTAATGTAGTAACTAATAAAATGTTTTTTCTTGGTTCTAAACATTGGCTGTGATGTTATGTACATCAAGGTTTATTTTTTATTATAAATATTGATTTGTAAATAGTTTTCTGCATCAGTACTTTTAGTAATATTATATTCAAATGCAGTTGTGAAAAGTTTTGTTAATAGTTACCTAATTGTTCCTTAAACGTGATTTTAACCCAATTCCCTGTACTCACAGTATTGTGTAGTTGTTCTAAATTAAAAATGTGAATAAAGAAGAATTGAAGACAATGATTCCAATTAATGATAGAAGAGTTTTAATTTATTGTAGAAGCCAAGATTATGGATGCAAAGCTCAGTTGTTCAATCTTTAAGAACCCTATCTTCATTGAGTACAAATAAGACCAGCTTTGACATTTCAACAGTAGGTTGCAAGAAAACTGCCTTGTAACTTTGTTTCCCCATTTTTAATTACCGAAACTTTAAAACAATTTCACTTGGTTAACTGTTTCTTCTTGAAGATAAAAATATGAAAATTATATATTTCAAGCTCCTTAGAAGATCTTCAATGAAGTTGAATGTCTCCTCTATCTTCTGGACATTCTCTGGCTAGATCATATAATATCTGTTGTAGATGGGTTTGTGAATTCGGTGACAAGATTGTTACAAAATGGAAAAAACAGAACAATACCAAGGGGAATATTTTTCAGAGAAGAAAGAAAAAGTTGTTTTGAATATTGTTGGAAGTATTCCAAATAACCAAAATCAATAACTTAAGAAAATAATATTACCGGAGATTAATACACCAGACCAGGCCTACACAACTCTTAGTCATTGTTGTTGTTTTTTTATTTTGTTTTGCATTTTCACTGGTGTGCGAGCCGCTTTATTGCAAATGTTGGAAGGGTGGGGATGAGATTCATTCCGGGAGTGTGGACCACAAATGAGAATGCGCAAACAAACTGTAGAGCGTATATTGAGAGAGCAATTGGCGATAACATGACGATTTGTTGAATACAGTTCAAGTACTATTGCATTTTGTATGGTATTGGAAATGGTGGTTGTTGATGTCAATATGACTCATGAATCTAAAATGTACTAGACATATATTTGATTTGAACACCAAGAATTATAGGTGCTTGTAGGGTTGATAATATAATTTGCTGTGAAATAATGTTACTCTCAGGGAATCATGCATTGTGCAGGCTTGCATGAGACCTTGGGTCATTGAAAATAAATTGTTAATCCATCAATGTTTAAATCTTTCAGATTTTATTGATATTTTTTAAAACTGATATAGAATATACAGCAAAGTTCATTACTGGGCTAATAGCAGAGAATAGGCAAATGATTACTTAACAGTAGAGATCAGATTTTTTGTTTATAAATGAAAGAACTCTTCAGCAATCAATAATTTATAAAATATTTTTCCAACACTTTATTATGTTCAGTGAATAATTAATGAGCCAATATTGTTTAATGAATCTTTAAATGGGCTTGTACATCCCAAGGTAACACACTCAAATGTGTTTATTGAGCTTTTATAGCTTCCATATTATTGAAAAAACAACAAATTTATTATAATTTAATTTCTTCCTTTGTTTTCATAGTCAAAGGTGAGTTTCTTTTTTAAAAGACCAAAGAGAAAAAAATCAAGCTTTGTATCTTAGTTGCTTGAAAACTATTTAAATATTTTCTTTAACTTTTTGAAATCATATTTTAGAAAATATTTTTTAAATATGACCATACAGTTATTTTAAATTTGACAGTTGTCCAAGAATTTGGTCAGTGGCATAGTATGAGAAGGGAGACAAGATAAACACTGTCTACCCAACAAAAATATTAATACATAGAACGTAATATAAATATTGGAATATGAGATATTATTTTTCAGGCAAAGCCTGATATGAGCTTGTTTCCTGAAATTTTTAGTATTCTTAAATTGTGTAAAAATGTGTGCGAGTGAAATGTATTTATATCTCAGACAACTTAGAATGACCCATTCGCGATTTTAGATTGCATTTTATAGTGTAACAATAACTTCTATGAATGTTTAATTTAATCTGCCTCTAGTTGGGCAGGCCATTTGTAACAAACCTTAATATTGCTATATTAATTAACATAATGTGTCTTAAGCATTCACAACGACTCAACATTGCGCAAGAAAACACTCTCGCAATACGCACCTGAGAAATAGCGCAATTTCTCAAAACATTCAACACTTCGTGACCATTGCACTAAAAGTAAGATTAGATTCTTTAAAGCGACAACGTCTTCGATTATTGAAAACCGAGATATTTACGAGAATATTAGTGTACGAAATTGCTCTCTTTAAGACATTTAAATGCAATGCTCTGCTTTATGATTACAGACACTGAATATTATAAGGTTAACGTAAAGGGCTCCAAGAAGCAAACAATTCTCTTATTGTTAGACGGGGATCGATGGAAGAAAAGGGTTTTTCCAAAATTGATATTCCCCAATCGGTGTGGACGAGCTTGAGGCCCTAGGAATTTGAAACGAATATTTTGGTTTGGGGTGTAACTTTACGTGAAGCCGTACAAACATTTTCAAAACTACTCAAAATGCCTCCAAATTTTAGTATTAATTTTTTTTCCTGGGAAAAGATGCTTAAAAACGGCACATTTACGTTGAACTCTGAAATTTCCAAAATTGTAAAAGTTCAATTTTTCAGCGTTTTCTACCTATGTCTACTACCTAAGATATTGAAGACAGATTTTTTGCTTATGAGATCCGTTGTTCATAGGCAGATCCTCAAGTGAGATCGTTTACAATTTTTTCAAAAATTTGAGTTGCTGCCTCATAATTTTGTTTGATACACGTGCAGTTAAAAAAATAATTATTTTCTCCAAAATGGTTCCAATTTTTTTCTCAAATAAAGCATGTTATCGTTATAAAATGGTGCAGGTTCCATTTTTATATTAACTTCCTACATTTTCGATAAAAAAATACAAAACTACATTTTTGCTATAGATTTTGTCTTCAATAAAATCTGTACTAAAAATATATTTTTAAATCATTTAAGATCAGTAACAATTTTTTGAACAAATAAAAGTAATTTTCGCGCAATTTTAACTTGAAATAAAGGCAATTAAAATTACATTTTCTCAGAAGTCTCAAAATTGTTCATCTCCAATATTTACCATTATATGCCACAGCTTTAGTTTATTTTAGGTAGATATCCTTAAATTATATTTGTGTCACTCTTTTAAGGCACGTTGTATTTCTTTGGATGTCGTTTGAGCTGGTCAAAAGAATTTGGTTATTTGCCTAAGCGCAGGGCGTGCGGTGACCAACTTGGATGGGTAAGCAAGGCAGTCTTGGGG